ATTTATAGGACTACAATCATTGAGTAAAATATGGTATAAAATATACTGTATAAAACACAGTATGTAAAACCCAGTGTCCCGTTTCTGCTAAAAGTACTTCTTAGTCGGTCGTGTTAAAAAGTCCTCTTTATTTCCCAGAATGTCTTTCGTGAGACAGAAGTTTGGATTGACCTGTGTAGTGACGTTTCTTCTTCTCGATAAACATGGTTTCTTTAAAGAACGTTGTAATTTTGGTTTCATCTATTTTGTCTATACAGTAATTAAAAGTTGCAACAAAGGAAGTTTTACACCTCAACTTTTGCTACAGCCTAGAAATGATTTAGTATGGGCTTTCCCCCACAGGTGAATCGATATCGTTATATTTTCAGTCCACATTTCTCCCTTTCGTTGACAGAGAAATCAAAACACAACCCGCATCATGCTCTGTTGGTTCTTGACCTCGTGTCATGGGTCATAAAAAATACGGTATTTTTATAGGCAGCAGAAATGGGGTATGAAAAATATGGTATCTGTTGCAAATACCAGAATAATACGACAAAAATAGTGGGGAAAAATATGATATATAAAATACAGTATATTTTTATGAGCCCCATTTCTTCTGCTGAAAAAAATACCTTATATATGGTATTTTTTTGGGAGCAGAAACAGGCCCTTTTTATATTTATACATATTTTATAGAAATTTCCAGAAGTATAAGACTACCATTGGGGCTAAAAAAATTTTAAAAATTAAAAAACGTTTACCATGTTGACAGATCACTTATTATTTACTGGTATCATAATAAAAAATTTTACTTTTGTAATTTTCATTATTAACATAAATATAATTATCATTGTTGTGAGCAGAAAATAACCAGGCAATTTCACTGTGTTAATTTGGGTCTGAACATAAAGTAGACCGTGACTTTCTTACCTACACTATGAAGAATAATTCATACACTGTTGTACTGAACTCATCCACCCTCCCAGTCGCTTGTTTTATTGTTTTCAGTACTGCATACCACATTTGTTTAATATTATTGATGTGTTTTGTTTTGCCAATTATTCACACCTATGTATGGACATGAAAATTTGTTTTAAAATAAATTTTAAATTTTTGTTCACAGTGGCTACTTATTTTTTTAGTTTTAATTACTGATAATTATAATAAAAACTAGATTTGAACTCGTCACTAGGACAAGTTAGGTGATCCTTCTTTCCAGCAAAATAAAGTAAAACAGAAAAAATATATATGTACCCCACTAAGTTTCCAACTGGTCACCACAAGCGTGCTACAGTAGAAAAATATTTTACTACTAGACTAAAGTACCACCCCGCTGATAGATTTTGCACGTAAATCTGAAAAAGCGGTGTTGGTTTAGTTACAATTTCAACTTTCAATCAACAAAGTCAGCATGATCCCAATGTATTAAATTTTTAAAATTCAGATGACAATATGATGATGTCACAATGTCTAAAAAGCCATAACGATCTATAAAATCACATACAACTCATGTGCATGTGCTTTAAAATTAGGCATGATTTGTGGCTTTTTTTCACTGTATGGTGACAAAAACGCGCACACGAATTTGTATGTTTGATGCAAGTACAGCATTGTTATTGGCCCTAAAATAACTAAAAAAGAATGAAAATTTGAGAATATAGTTTCAGGAACCCAAAATATGCTGTGCACCTGAAAATCCAGTCTGCGCCCTCAGTTGGGTTCATCAAAGATTTTAAGAAAAAAGATGAGGGGTCAGAAAAACATTCATTTTGACCATGACAACATCATCAAAATGAAAAATGAAGGACACATTCAAGAAATATAATTGTCTCAGCTATAACATACTCAAAGGTGGGAGTCGATCGATCAAGGATTAAGCGAGTTATGCTGAAATGAGTATAAACATTATAAAATAAAAAAATAATAATAATTTTTTCCATTTTTGTTATAACAAACTTTTTGTGAATACCACATCTGGGCTAAAAGATATTTGTTTATATTGATAATGTTAGCTGGCCTAGCTTGCCCAGGCCTAGACGGCTACTATTTATAATTATGCTCAGTAGTCTCTGAACTATCAGCTGCCCATTACACTTAGGGGTTTTAATAATATGGTATTAAACAAAGATCTTTAATAATAACAAGATAGCGTCCTCTGCATTTTGCGTGCAAGAAATAGAAGTGACCAATTCATGCAGAAAACAATAGAAAGTAATTTATTTATTTTTTTTTTTTTAGAATCGGAATGTATAGCGCCTTCCACAATACAAGGCATTGGCACCATATTTCCCTGGTCACTGGATACCGTCTTGGCAGATCCGCACATTGCGCAACTTTCTCTGCTCTCTGGGGAGTATCTCTGGTCAGTGCTGCTTGAACGTGCACAACCCATACATTCAATGCCATACCATCCTACCCATTTATACTCCTGGGTAGAGAGAGGCATCCTAGTTGTTACTATGGCAGAGATGCCAAGTTTGTCAATTAGCTGGGAGTGAGAAAAATCAAACAATCGATTGAGCGAAGCAACTGAGGGGGTCGCTTTTTTCTTTTTTGGTTTTTATATTAAATTGTGCAGTTTGGTGCATACCTATAATACAATGTTACTTGCAGAATTCTTATATAGAGTAATACAAACTCCAAGAAATGGGATACATGACATTTTTTGATTCAATATTTTGACATTTATTATTTCATCTTCAGGAATAAATGAAATTGCTAAGCAATGGGAGAGAGTTAACCTTACTTCTGTGAAGTTGATGAATGGGCTTTGTAATAAGCACAGGTGACCTTTTTTTGTAGATTTTAATACATCTTTTTAGGCTCCTGTACCAATTTGATGGTCAGGATACTCGACAAGGTTCTCCTGGGATCTACTGTAAATTTGGGCGAAAGGCAGTTTTTTTTTTCTGAACCATTGAAAGATTAGCTCCTCTTCGGCATTAGAATGAAGTATTACAAATACCTGGCTTGTAACTTTACATTATTCCGATTATCAATTTTCTAATGCGATAGCTCCCTGTGTTTTTGTTTTATTTTTATTTATTTATTTTTTTGGTCCCATTGACGACCGGCGTAAGAAAATGATTGTTGAGTAGGTGAGCGTGAGAAGAGGCGCTGGGGCGTGATTCTCACGCCTACGGCGTGAGACTTGGTAGGTCTGCTATGGCAGTTGTTCCAAAATTTGCACTGAGATCATAGATGTCAAAGTTCAAAAGTAATTGTAATTGCAAAGGCGTCCTACACCGCGTTATTACAGAATTTGCACGCAGAAATCGCTGAGAACGGTATCTTGTTATAAAATCTTTGGTATCAAATAATATAAATAATAATAATTATAATACCCAAATACGCGTAGCATAGTATTTTCGTTTTATTACTGTTCCAGGTACTGATATTCAGATTTCTTATTATAAAGTACAAGTTATGTTTTATAAAGAAGTATATAGTAAATCATGTTTTTCACACAGGAAAATCTCATATGGTAACTATTACTGTACAATGCTAGTTTAGAGCTACTAGTACTACTGTACTGTACCGCATAGGAATATTCTATACACTATTTATATTTAATGATAGGCTTTTCTTTTTTCATCTTGATTTCAGAGTTAAAAAACATTTTTCAATTTTTTTTTTTCAATTTTGTTTTTCAATCATATAGTGGTGTAGAATAATCTTTTGAGAACATTTTCCAGAAAAAATAATGTGATACTACCCTCCGTTATCACTTCAAGATTTCTACCGATTCATGGAAAAGGTGTATTTAACATACATAGGCCTAGTCATAGACATAGGCCTACCTAGATAGGCCTAGGACTAAATAATAATAATAATTAATAAACATAAATATACATAGACCTAGGCCCTAGGCCTAAATAAATAAATAATAATAAAAAAAAATATACATAATAAACGGCGGTAGTACCCGGGCTGTTACACTACAGTAACCTAGCCTGGCCCTAGGGCCTAGGCCTGCCTGTGGCTAGCATGCCTCCTAGTAGAACTAGGCCTAGGCCTAGGCTAGCCTAGCCTAGCCATAATCCGCATATTATTAAGATGTTTCATTCTAGGCTAAATAATTATAACTAGGCCTAGGGCCTAGGGCCTATAATTGTTTAATTTAAGTTTCTCTCACTCTTTCTTTTTTTGTTGGCGTAGACTTGAATCTTGACTTTCACTCATGATTGACTGGACCAACCATGTTTATATATATACAGGTAACTAGTGGACAAGAAACGGTCGGACACACGGAAAGAAGACGGTTTGTAAAATGTGGATATTGTAATTTTTTATGGTATGGTCATAATCGCGGACGGGATGTGACGTGTGGCGTTGTACGTACAGTGTAGGCCGGCCTCCTACGCGTCCCGGATATTGAGATAATTGACGGCGTTGACGCAATATTTTCCCTATGTACAGTACTAGCTGTGGCATGGTATTATGGTAAGTGAAAGTAAAGGCGAATGAAGGCACACTCACAAAATAACAAAAAACTACGTATGATAAATAAGCACATTTTGTAGAATGACATTCGTGTATTATTGCCCTGTTCTGATTGGTCAGTAGTTAAGACACATTTTGTCATCAGATGACACATCTGATGACTTGGTGGGTGATATTCTCAGTCAGCGTAGTGGCAATAGGCCTATAATTATAATTGTACTGTAATTTTTAATTTTAATTTTCGATATAATTTATAGCACAGACCCATATGTGTCTGTGATAGGCAGATTTATAAACTCAGCCTGTCGTCTAACAATATTCAGCAGATAGTCACATCTCCATGAACTATACTATAGTTATACCAATATTCTTCTATGACAGATTTTTTTTTAATTTTTTTATAACAACTTACAGCTACTCTCGAAATACCGTAAATGCTAAGCGCCGCTCTCGAAGCGCTGCACCAAACGTGATTTTTTGCGCTAAGCGCCGCTCTCGAATAAGCGATTTATAATGTCATAAAAATCATAATAATTTTTAAAATTTTTAATGAATATTTGTCTAAAATTGTGTAACTATTTTGCAATGTAAACTCTAATTTTAAATTATTCTCTCTCTCTAAATGTTTAAATGAAATGTAACCTGTAGGCGTTTTTATTTTGTTTGGTTTTTTTAAATTCTTGTATTGTATTTTATATCTTTGTACTGTATATTTTATTGTATTTTTATATATAAATAGTGGAGTGCCTTAGCACCAGGATCGTGACACAGATGACAAAAGTGCCAAATTTCGTACAGATATTAGCATGGGCATGCAGTTTTGAAAAATCTCTGGAGCCAAAAAAAAAAAAATCTTACTTTTGGGGTAAAAAAATCGCATTTTTGGGAAAAAATATGGTTTTCAATATTTTGGTATTTTTTTTACTATTGTAGTGCAAGACCTACCTGTACAAATAGGTTTAAAATCAATATGATCAATATGTAGTGAAATAAGCAAAGAAAGGTGAAAAAATATAAAGAAAATAAAAGATTTTTTTGACGAAAATGTCACTTTTGTAACAATCTACATTTTAACCTTGTGTATACTAATAATTGAATTACCTGGATGACAATTTGGTACAGATATTATTATTATTACCATACAATTTTGAAAAATCTCTGGAGCCAAACAAAAATTTAATTTTTGGGGAAAAATATGGTTTTTAATATTTCGGTATTTTTTACTATTATAGGACAAAGGTCTATTCATTGTTTTGTTGCAAATAAGAATGAAAATAATAAGAGGCGAGTTGGTTGGCCAAGCGGTTAAGTCAGGGGCGCCATAACCTTTAGCTGTAGTATCGGCGCTGGTTCAACCGTGTCACTTGCCGGGGTCCGACGTTGGGGAGTGGTGAAATATCCCCGATGTATATGTTGATTTTATATATACTTAGTAGTTCGAGGAACTAAAAAATAATATCACTATAAATACCTTCAATGGCACAATAATTATAATTATATTTGTCAACTAATTGGTCAACACATGGGTGGGTGGATGCGCAAGGTCATTGTTATTCTGAGAGAACACCTCTCGGTGGACCTTAATTATTGATAATGATGTAGGCCTACTGGTCCTGTCATACTAAAGAGTAGTGAGTCGCTATTAGTGAGTCGCTAAAATGTCAGGAGACGGGAGTCAAATTGCTTATATGGATGTTCGCTTATGGAAAGAAATGCCTCTGTTGCTGCCGGTGGTGGTGGGGAATAGAATTTTCAGGCTTGCCGATTATTCTTCCTTTTCCAATAAATGTGGTATATCACACTCGTAAAATTAAGGAAAAGGGGTAAGGCACTGGGACATACATTACTTTCCTCAAGATATTTGCACAAATATAGGCTCAAAGCTTTGCCCACAAACTACCACCAAGGGCACTGCCCTTTATCCATCTGGGCCCATAGGTGGCATGCAGACTAAAAACCATGTTGCTAGCAAAACGCATCCCCACCCCCTTCGAAACTGTCACAGGAAGAAATGTGCATCTTTATAGGCCTTGATAGATTATGGGCGAGCCCAGTGAGGTTCAAAATCGGGCGACCATTATCTATGGCTTTATGAGAGCGTCTACTATAGAAAAACGAAGCCAAAACCTCTATTTTTAACAAAAATTAACTGTATTCAGCCCAGGTGAAATTTTTAATTGATTGAAACATTTTTTTAAACCGTCTGTCATATTCTGACACTGTTACTGATCAGTACAGTGAGGTATAATATATAACAAACATGGCATATAGGATATATTTTAAATCTCAACAAAACTCTATATTTTTTTACCAAAAATAAGTTTTTTAACCAAAAAAAATTGCCAAAATTGGGATTTTTAAAAACCTTTACGTAAGATTCTGATATGTTAGTAAGGTAATATATTGGTTAAAATGAATTTTTTACATACCAAGAACTGCAATTATAGTTTTATATGTAGACAAATCTCAATTTTTTACCAATGCCTTTATAAGATTCTGATATATTATTGACCATCGAGGTATAATACCGCATTGGTTAAAATGTATTTTTACATACAGAGCATATCAGTATAAATGTCAAAAAATAATTTGTACCAAAAATTGTCGTTTAAACTCAAAAATAGGAACAATTGGGATTCTTTAAGACTGTCATGTCAGATTCTGACATATTATTTATCAGTGAGGTATGATAGGCCTATCGGTTAAAATATATTTTTACATGCAGAGCTTATTAGTTATAATTTATTATAGCTAATTAGTTATAAAAAAAATCATATTTTTAGCCTAAAAATGACCAAAAATTTGGGGGTTTTTAAACCCTTTTGTCAGGATTCTGACATGTTATCGACCAGTGAGGTATACTTTTGATTAGAATATATTTTAACATGCAAAGCAAATCAGGTATGGTTTAAATGTCAAAAAATCTATATTTTTTCTAGAAAATAATGTTTTTAGCCCAAAAAAAGTGTCAATGAGTTTTCTTGGTTTCAGAGATTTTCTTGAAAAGCATGTTGATAAAACTATTTCATTCTTATATGCTTATTGTAATAAAAAGAATGACCATATAGATTCTAAACCTGTTTGTACAAGTAGGCCTTGCACTATAATAGTCAAAAATACTAAAATATTAAAAACCATTTTTCCCCAAAAATTCTATTTTTACACTAAAGATTCAATTTTTTACCCCCAAATATTTTTTTTGGCTCCAGAGATTTTCTTGAAAAGCATGTTGATAAAAGTATCTCCACCAAAAATTAAAATTTTGTCATCCGTGTCACGATTCTTCCATATTTTGATTATTATTATTATTATTATTATTAATAATAGTAATAATAATAATAATAAAATTAATAATAATAATAATAACATTCCGTGTCACGATTCTTCCATATTTTGATTATTATTATTATTATTATTATTATTATTAATAATAATAGTAATAATAATAATAATAAAATTAATAATAATAATAATAACATTAATAATAATCCGGATCAGCCCCTGCTATGTGTTAAAATGTTTAAGAAACAAATACTGTACATTAAAAGTATTTTTATACCTGTCCATATAATTAAACGACAATTACTGATTAAACATAGACTTGATCTGTAATGAAATTGCAATACAAATATTTATATTATTTGTTTTAATGTTTTATGACATTGATTCTGCTAACGAGAATGATGATGATCATTTCTTTCAATTCTTTCATGACATTGATTCTGCTAACGAGAGTATGATGATGATGGCGACAACTACAGCACAAAGGCGTACAGTTTTTATTTCAGTTCCACCAGAACACCAGCAATGATAACTAGAGCACCAATGTAGTAGAGTAAAACTTTATTTATTCACGAAGCACAAATCAACAAATATAATGCTGTATTTCATTAGTCACAGTTAACATAAATTACACAGTACGGTACATAATAAAAAAGAAAAAAGTTAAACGCAGAAATTAAATAATATAGATACAAAACATAATTATTATATAGTATGCAAAAGTCAACAATTTAGTAAAAACCTATACCTAACAATGGCAAAATAAATTATTGAAATGAAGAAAATGCACTCCACAAAAGTAAACTAAATTGCGAAAAAGAAATGTAAAATGTAAACAAAACAAAGCAAGACAACATTAAGTTAGTAATTTATACAATGTTCATACTATTATACTTCGCCTTTCATTAAGTATTAATACAAATGTGGCTTTTGAAAATACTTTAATTGGTAGAAGACTGTACATCAGGACATAATCTATTTCATTTGATAGCGCCACGATATGAAATCCTTCTATTTTTTTGTGA